GATCCACTTCTTGATTGCGCCTCCACCGAGTTCAGCCCCTTCAACAAACTGGTTATACTGGAAACTATAAACTCCTTTAATCCTGGCTGTTCAGCCAAAGCCCTGACTCCTAATAATTCTTCCTGGCTCTCATCTGGTGGCCTTTTCATGGCATAGGGATGCTGAATCTGTCAGTATAAGAAAACTTTGGGAAAGTATCTGGGGTCTGTGAAACAGGAGAAAGCCTAGGAGTATTTAGGGGAGATTAATTGTAACAGGATAACAGCAAATCCTGGTGTATCACTAACTGCCTTTGTGATCTCTCTCTAGCATTAAGTTTCCTACTCTGAAATGATTGCACTAGAGAAAGTGATTGTAATAGATACCTCTTGTGATGGCTGCCTGGCTCCCTCCATTCCCAGGATATTGCCTATGATACTTGGGGATTCTGGGATTTATGTGACCCAGTCCCCCTCCAGAGCTAGTGAACCAGGGGAAGATATCTGTCCAAGGCCAGGAAAGTCTCTCTTTCCTGGTATTCTTGAATAGGGGGACACAGAGACTGGACAATGTTAACATTGACTATCATTGGTAACCTGCAGCTGCTAGTCCCAGAAATGCCCAACTTTTTGCTCTTCTTGCAGCTTGATGGCTCAACTCTTCCTTGCTTTTCATGAGGTTCCCTGGTAGCCTTTCAGGATATTCCTCACTTTGCTTACATTGCCCAGAACTACTTTCTGTAACTTGCAATCTAAGGTACTTTTTTTTTAAGGGTCCGTTCAACTTCCACAATTCTATTATTCTTTGATTTAATGGTACCTGTAACTCTTGAACATAAATGGATTGAAACATTGTGTGTTGATAACCACAGACAACTGGTAGCTTTGGTACTGGTGAGTGACTGCAGTTTTTGGCAGTCTTTACGCTAATGAATACTAGAGATAGTCCTTTTAATAACAGCAGATATTTTAGTTAGGTAAATTTGTACTTGTTACACATGGAGGAAATTTTTAGTTTAATAGTTCACATTAGAGATATTAGTGATGTTTATAGAAAAGGATTTTAGTTTCCAGTACAAGAAATAAGTGAGTCAAGTCATATTTTCCAAGTCACCATATCAAAGGTACACACCAAGGCTAAGGAGTTGAGTGTATACTTAAATTCGTTTATCACTCACATCTCATGCACTGTCATCTCATTGTATTGAATTCAGTGGGTATTCCCAGGTCAATTCTCCTGATGATGCTGAACATTAAAAAAGGTGAATTCAAATTAAACATATTTTGTCTTTTTTAAAGTATATTTTATTGATTATGCTATTACAGTTGTCCCAATTTTTTTCTTCCCCTTATCTCCCCTCCTCCCTGCACCCTCCCACCCCCCCTTAGTTCATGTCCATGGGTTGTACATATAAGATCTTTGGCTTTTCTGTTTCCTATACCATTCTTAACCTGCCCTTATCTATTTTATGCCTACCAATTATGCTTCTTATTCCCTGTACCTTTCCCCACCCCGTCCTCCCCCTGCCCCTCCCCACTGATAACCTTCTATGTGATCTCCATTTCTCTGATTCTGTTACTGTTCTAGTTGTTTGCTTAGTTTTTGTTTTTGTTTTTTTAGATTCAGTTGTTGATAGTTATGAGTTTGTTGTCATTTTATTGTTCATAGTTTTTGATCTTCTATTTCTTAGATAAATCCCTTTAACATTTCATATAATAAGGGTGTGGTGATGATGAACTCCTTTAACTTGACCTTAGCTGAGAAGCACTTTATCTGCCCTTCCATTCTAAATGATAGCTTTGCTGGATAGAGCAATCTTGGATGTAGGTCCTTGCCTTTCATGACTTTCAATACTTCTTTCCAGCCCCTTCCCTTCTTGCCTATTAGATTTCTTTTGAGAAATCAGCTGAGAATCTTATGGGAACTCCTTTGTAGGTAATTGTCTCCTTTTCTCTTGCTGCTTTTAAGATTCTCTCCATATCTTTAATCTTGGATAATGTAACTACGGTGTACTTTGCTGTGTACTTCCTTGGACCCAACTTCTTTGGGACTCTCTTTGAGCTTCCTGGACTTCCTGGCAGTCTATTTCATTTGACAGATTGGGAAAGTTCTTATTATTTTTTTCAAATAAGCTTTCAATTTCTTGCACTTCTCCTTCTACTTCTGGCATCCCTATGATTCAGGTTTTGAAACATTTAACATTGTCCCAGAAGTTCCTAAGCCTCTCCTCATATTTTTGAATTCTTGTTTCTTCATTCTGTTCCAGTTGGATGTTTATTTCTTCCTTTTGATCCAAATCGTTGATTTGAGTCCAAGTTTCCTTCCTTTCACTGTTGGTTCCCTGTATATTTTGCTTTATTTCATTTTGTGTAGACTTCATTTCTTTCTTCATTTTGCAACTGAGTTCAATCAGTTCTGTGAGCATCCTGATTACCACTGTTTTGAACTCTGCATAAGATAAGTTGTCTATCTCCTCATGGCTTAGCTCTTTTTCTGGAGTTTTGATTTGTTCTTTCATTTGGGCCATATTTCTTCATGTCAGCACACCTGTTTGTTGTAAGGAAGTAGAGCCTTAGGTATTCGCCAGGGCTGGATAACCCTTGTTGTTGCTGTGTTGTGGTGCTGTCTATGGGGGAGGGGTCAGAGAGGGAACAATGCCACTTGCTCTGCTCTAGCCCCAATTTCCAATGAATTCTCCCTGGGGACTGGGAGTTTCTCCTGCTGTTGCAATCCCCACAGTATTTTATAGGTAGAAGTTTTGAGTCTTGAGTTTCCCATTCAGCCAGCCCTGCCTTGCCCACATGGTCTGCCGCTATGCTGCGCATCCTCTCCAGCTGCCCATCCAACATATTTTGTCTTAAATGCCATACATTATTACACTATAATCTGATGTGGTATAGTTATCAAATACCTATCAAAATAACTTTAAAATTACAATGCTTAACCAGAATACTACAGTTTAGTAGTATAACTAGCCCCTTTACTATGAAACTTCCAAATAATGGACTCTTTATGGTTCTTTAATAAATTATTGTTATTGATTTTACAAAGTACAAGGCATGCCACTTGGTAGATAAAAAGGAATATTGCAGAGAATAAATAAGATTACATTTGTGATACTGGGTTTTGGGATGTTGCCAACTTAGCCCAGGGGGGATGACAAGCAAGCTGAAACTAAGAATTACATGAGTTGGCCTAGAATTAACTTGATTAATATTAGTGGTATGGGCATAATGTTTGTGCAAATAGAGGCACATATTGACCCTAAAATAATTTATTTGATTGTAACAAAGATAAAAAATGCATAAAAAGTATAGAAAGAACTAACTAAGGCATGAAAGTATAATCACAGGTGTGGTTTGTTTTTTTTAAATTTAGTTTTGCTGGAGATCTATAAATTTTTTTTATGGGAAGTTTTTGCTCAGAAAATCATGTATGAAAAGTACTTTACCAAGTCTATTCTTTCTTGGTAAGTAATGAAATGTAGAGGTTTACCACAATTTTCCCACTTTTTGAACATCTAGTGTCTAGGGCAGGGCCTCTGACATTCAGCAAATTGCTTGGTACCTAGCATACATGCAAAAAAAAACATTTGTTAAATGAATTCAAATGAGCAGATAAATATTCAGATTAAAAAAATCAATGTAAGTCTTCCTTGTAGTGCATACTTCCATGAAGCTCTTACCTATCTAGTAGCTCATTATGCATTTCCATTCCCTGGTGCCAACATTATCTGTTGACATATCGAATAAAAAAGAACCAAACTAAATTTGTGTTTTTCCTACTCAAACCTGCTCCTCCTTCTTATTTCCACTACTCTGAATGCAACCATAATCCTCCTCCTACTCACCCATTTCCCATATCCTTCTTTGACATGTTGAGTTAACACGGAGTCTATTCTGTTTCTGATTTTTCCCTACCAGGGTCTCTGCTCCTACTGTCCTTAGCCTCCACTTCCTTTTGCTTGGGCCAGTGAATATCCTCTATCTTCCCTGTCTCTTCTTACCAACCTAGTCTTAATTTTGTTGCTTGATTGCACCCCTGCTCCCCACAAAAAGAAAAACAAATAATGATTAAGAGTCTGGATTCTGGCTCTGATTTGTACTGTTGTGATCAGGAACTTGGACTCCGGAGTCAAACCTCCTGATTTATGGTCTGCCTTTCAAGGACTTCTCTTCCAACCTCATTTCTCACTTTATATTCTAGCCAAAATACCCTCCATCTCTAACCTAGATTTTAATGGCCAGTTCACCTTACCACTTCCCTGAAATAATCTTCCTCTCCTAGGAACTGCCCTAGCATGGCTCCTATATGTCTCACTACCTGCTTTGTACAAATTACATGCATCCTTTAAAATTTTAAAAAAAATTTCTCTTGGGAGAACACAAGTTTCTTGAAGGCAGGATGCTAATTGTATTCTTGTTTTATATTTCCAGTAAGTTATGGTGTGACTTGAACACTGCAGCTCCTCGAGAAATATTGGCGAATGACATCAATTTACAGAAATAAGTCCGACTCTGAGACTCCCCCCTTTGGATCGCATGTGTTTGTCCAAATCATAGCACTGTATATGAAAATGGGTGAACATAATGTATGTAAATTAGATCTTTTAAAAAACTGACAAATTTTCTTGAGGAACCCACAAAGCTTTTGTTTATGTGGGTTACATGTATGGATATTTAGCATATTAAAACTTATGACAAAATTTAAAAACATTTCCGTATTCACTTTAAAAATACCAAATGCACTAAATGTTAACATTAATAATGTATTTTCATTCATTATCTCTGTCTTATTCAGCTGCTCACTCTTCTCGGTCTGACTTAGCTCCCGCCACGGAGAAGATGCAGGGCCCTTACTAGGAGAACAGTTCCAGCCCCGAAGAAACCACGCGAACCCTCTCACCCCGCCCACCCGCCCAAAGCGGAGACAGCGGCCGGAGGCTCCCCGACACTCGGCCCCGCCCCTCCGCACACTCGGCCCCGCCCCTTCGCGCGCTGGCGCGAGTGCCGGGGCGCACGCGCAGGGCTCCCGGAGGCCGCGCAGAAGAGTGCCCCTGCGAGTGCCCATCCCCCAACTTTCACCACGTGAGCCGGGAACCCGTCGACCCGGCTGCCTGGTCGCCGTGGTAGGTCGTTGTCATGGCCTCTCCGTGGGAAGAACTGACCCTTGCCTTTTCTAGCATGTCTATGTTCCCCTTTTTCGACATCGCTCACTACTTGGTATCCCTGATGGCGCTGAAGCGTCAACCGGGTGAGTGCGGGGCGCCGGGGAGCGGCCCCCTCAGGTGAGGACGGCCTGAGCCGGGTGAGCGGGCAAGCTGCTTCTACCCTAGACAGTCCTATAGTCCAGCTGGAGGGGCGCCAAGGGTCAACTCCATCGACCCCTCCAGTGCAGCTAGGGCAACTGAGGCCGGGAAGGGAGGTGGTCCGGGTACTGTCAAAGGAGGCGCCACCTGGGGTCTGCGACGTCCGGGGCTGGCCCTACTACGCGGGAAGCAATCCCGGGCAGGTGACCGGGAGGCGTAGCCGCTGGCGGAGCCCCGGTACTGCCGGTGGCCGCCCAGGATTTGCACGGTCTCATGGTGGTGCCACCACTCTTTGGGAAAGTATTTAAAAGTCACCGGGGAACAAAGCTTCCAGAGACAGCGAGTCTGACTTACTTGCTTGGAGTAATGGATAGTTGCGGACTGCTCTCCAGTTCTGAAAGTTGTATAAACACTTACTTACCTACTGGTAAATCAAGTCTCAAGTAGGCACACCAGTCTGGCATACTTCTTTTTATTGCGCTTTGCTTTACTGGGAGTGTTTTTTTCTTTTTTTTTTTTTACAAATTGAAGGCAACACCTCCCTCGTCCTCCCCGCCCCAGCAAAAGGATTACCGCTAGCCTTATTGCATTGGTTGTCTGGAGCCCAGGGTTTGGGGATGGAGGATGATGCTGTACTTCTCATGGACCGCTGGTTTTTCAAACCCTTGTACCCCAGAGATATTTTTCATTTACGTTGAAGTTTGTACCTTAGTCTAGATCGTCGTTTGGTAGAAGTTTTGACCTGGATGAGGGGAATTTCTTTGTATTATATAAGGACCGATAATCTGCGTAAGATATTGCTTCCTTGGTTTGAAAAGAAGGACATTTTCTTATGCCCTATTCAGTAGTTGTTATTTTTTCTGTGTAGGCTAAATCAGAGGTTCTCAAAGTGTGGTCTAGGACACTTGCGGGTCAAATTTATTTTCGTCATAATATACACATGCTATTTGTGTTTTTCACATTCATTTTCTCACAAGCGTACAGTGGAGTTTTCCAGAGGCTACAGAATCAGGGATACTGTAAGAGATTGAATGAAGAAGCAGATACGTGAATCCAGCTTTTTTCTTTTTGTAGCCAGACGTTAAAGAGATTTCCTAAAATATAAATCAGTGTGACTTTTCCCTCTAAATGGTTGTTGCTTTAGAAAATAGCTATTTTCATAAAGAATACATGATTTGTGTTAACATCGAGTGCATTTGTTATTTTAAAAATGAATACCTAAAGAACTATTTAAACATTTTTCATTATAATTTCTAATATTCTAAATATTGATACATGACACTCACATAAGCAAAAAGATCTTTGAGGTCTTCAAGAATTTGTTTTAAGTCAGGTTTTTTAAAGGTTTAATTTACATGCATTATGTTCACTCTTTTAAATGTAAAGGTCTGTGATTTTGGACGAACACATACTCTCCTGTAACCACTACCACAAGCAGTTTCATCACCCCACCGGGATTCCCTCCTGCCCTTTTGTAGTCAGTCCTCCCCTATCTTTGGGCAACCATTCACCTGTTCACTAATTTTTAGGGGTACAGAGGAGTCTTGAAACCAGAAAATTTGAGAACCAATGGACTAATTGAACGCTATCACATAATTGCATATGGTGTGAAAATATTTTACATTCCAGTACTAGTACTTGTAAACAGGTCAAAATGATAGGATTCACACACAAAAAATATACAATGCCTGTTTAAGCTTTTACCAGGAGTGTGTTAGACGGCCTTCCATAGTATGGGCTTTTATCAGTCTTAAATATCTTGTCATTCTAATAATCAGAAAACACAGTTTTTATTTGCATTTGTCCTGGTTAAAAAGTTTGTGCTGCTTAAGTTTATTGGTCACTTGTATGTCCACCTCTGTAAATCTGTTGAATTGATCGTATTATTTTTGCTATTTAAAAAGTAATGTACTATATTTTAAAAAATGACTTCTAAAAATATTCTTGGACTAAACTCTATTTGATGTATTATTTAAATTTTTTAGGAATTTTGATATGCCAGTACTTTATATAAATTTTTAGTTAAAATTGGCAACTTCTTCCCTTCTCCTGATACTGATTCTCTAGAACTCAGACCTATATATAGTACAATAAAACTACAATTTATCTATATACTGCTTACCAGGGTTCTTATTATCTATCTTCTTAAGCATGTTACTCCTTGAGACTCTGACTTTTGGAATGTACTTTTTACCCATGCTAGTACCTCACCCCCCACTCTTCTACCATTTACATTTTATGATTTGTAGTATTTGCCTAGATCTTTAAAAATGCTAGTGGAGTCAACAGAATTAAGGGGGATTAACTATTTCTATGTGTAGTGTAGGTGAGGATAGCATGCCTTTTTAATTTGGTTCAGGTTGTAGGCCTTCTCGTCCAAGGAAAGATGACAGTTTCTCCCTTTTCTCTTTCTGTGTGACTTGTGTTTAAGCAAAGATATCAAGGTATTTAATAAATTTGTTTTTTTATCTTTATTTTTTAGTTTACCTCCATTTATCTCATAATTAACTTTGGTTCCTATTAAACCCTGGCATCTGATCGTCTGTGACTTTCAGTTTTGGCTAGTAGTATAGATTTTTGTTTTGTTTCTCTTTACCTAGGTATTTTATTAGGAAATTGTAAAATGCTGCTTTGGGAACTGTTAGAAATGATAACAGAAAGTTTACATCATCAATTTTAATCTCCCATCTTGTATTTTTATATCTTCTCTGTCTCTTATTTTATTCTTCATTAAAATAAATACATTTCTTCAATACTACATTCATATCCAATTGCTGTTTTCTGTGAGAGTTTCTGAAAATTTAATCTACAATTATTTCTACTTGATTTTTACATGTCAAATCTGTTGTTTTAATCTTAATTCTTCCCTTACTGTTTTGCCAAACTCCCTCAAATATTTGTTGAAACTACTGATCTGTACTGCAGATCTGTACTGCATATGGCACTACATTAAATGTTGAGGATACCAGTATGAAAGATACTATTTTGGCCCTAAGGAAACTCTACTGGGCTGTTGTCATCTTTTTTTTTTTCATAGGGTCACATAAGGTTGCACTTCCTTTCCTACACAATAATAATATTTATTTCAGATACATTGAAAATGTTTCACTCTATTCTAGTCCTCACATATCCCTTTAAGGTAGGTGTTATTGAACTCATTTTACAGATGAGGAATAGTCTTAAGAGGAATAAAATAAACTTCCTTAAGATACATAATTCAGTAAATTATGGAGCTAGTTCTGCCGCTTACTCCAAAGTTTTCAACTATTCTGTGCTCTCTGCAGGTTCATGTAGTGTTCTTTGTTTTTTCAGTGTTTAGCAATTTCTCAGTAATTTGTCATTTGATATGGTTATTTTCTCCCATGGTTTCTGTTATTTCCATGCCACCAGTTGGTACTTTGCTTTTAGGAATTAAATCTAGGAATAAAGTTTGTTATTATTCCTTCTTTTAATTTGTGGGAGATGAAAGGATTAATACATCAAGCATTTATCAGTTCTGGGACTTCGGAAAGGTGGCAGCATAGTCTTGCTGTCTTTATGAATCCCCATGAAAAACATACAGAAAAGTATTAAAGTCATAAATGTGCAGCTCAGTGAATTTTCACAGTGAACATCTATGTAATCAACATCCAGATAAAAGGAGAACATTCATAATGCCTCCAAAGCCCCCTTTGTTATGAGATGCTGTAAAAAGATTCTGCCCAGTATTGGGTGGGAAAGGATGTCTCAGAAATGACAACCCATAATTTACTTCTTTGTGTTTAGAGACTCTTGCTTAAATTGTCTTTCCATGTTTTAATTGAAAGGAAAGTTAGAGCATTTGAGTGACCCGACATAAATATTGCTCAGGGAGTGTAGTACAGTGGAAAGAGCTCATCAAGTCAGGAGACTAGTGTTTAGTTCAAGCTCTCCTGCTGACTGGGTAGCTTGGGATATCTATTTGTGCAGTGAGTGCACTGAACTAGAACACCGGCTGACTAGTATTCTCCTCTCAGGAACCCCCTCTCAGGAACCTCAGTTTTGGCTCTAAGGAGCTCTTCCTGTAAGCTTCTAACTTTTAGTAATTTCATCCTATTCTTTGTTCCCTAGCAGAGGTAATTACTTTCTTCAGCTGCTACCTCTATACCACAGTATTTACAATTTACCTTTTCAAAAGCTAGTTAACAATTTCATACTTACTTCTTTTAAAAAACATTCATTTATTTATTTATTTATTTATTTATTTTTAATCCTCACCCGAGGACATGCTTATTGATTTTAGAGAGAAGGGATGGGAGAGAGAGAGTGAGGGAAAGAAACATGAGTGTGAGAGAGAAACATCGCTGGTTGTCTCTTGCACTCACCTGGACCAGGGACCAAACCCACAACCCAGGCATGTGGCCAGGAGTCGAACCCACAACCAGTCTCTGGGACAATGATCCAACCAACTGAGCCACACTGGCTAGGGCTACCTACTTTTAAAAAGATACATATATTTTTAACTTACTTTATATTAAATTCTCTCTGTTAAAATAACTGTATTTTCTATTTTTTGACTGGACTTTGCTACAGAAGCCTAGCAGTACAGTTTAACTTTCTACTTTATGGTTTGCATACAGGAGTGGGCAAAAGTAGGGTTACAGTTGTTCATAGGGAAAATCATACAGTAATTAATAAAAAATAACACATGAATGAACTCTGTGTTTTGGGTACTTACAACTGTAAACCTTTTTCTCACCCCTGTATATCATAGTAAGATATCTAAAGTACTGGCTACTTTTTGTCCATAGATCCAGTCAGTATGATGTCTTCAGTGTAGTAAGCCAGTTGTGGTGATGTGTGGAGTCTCATTATGATCAAAATCTCTGTGGACTTTGTTGGAGAGCCGGAGAGTTGACATAGACTTGAGGCAATACTGTGATAGTGAACTCAGTCTTGCTAGGTGAAAATAAAGTGTCTGGGGTTC